CGTCGGAAGTTCGTCAAAATAATGTAGTGTGGCGTAAACAATATAATATGAACCCTTGATGACTCCGCTCAATTTTGTGGATGCATCTGCGAACGCCACCTAGTATATATTTTATGTATTTCTGTAATTGACGTAACCAATGCATAACTTATGTAAATCTAGATAAATAAATGACTTATGACTTTAGAGTAAAATACCCCCGCCGCAGTAAACCTGCAGACTAAGCGAATTTCCATTTGCCTAACTGGATTTACACTAAAATGTCTCCTTTAAAATATCTCATTTATTCCCTATTTAAATAACATTAGTTTAACGAATACTTAAGTTTGCTGCAACAGGGAGGTTAAAAAGGTATTTGTTGTAAAATGTAATTGTTTCGTATGAAATGAATGAATTTTCCAAATTTGATCAAAATATGTTCATAAACAAGCAAACTACAACAGTTTACTTATTCTCCATAAGAATAACATAGGAATTTAAAATTTACAGATTTTTGGAGTTTTCTCTGTAACCATTAGGCATATAATAACGCTTCAATATACTAAATTATTTGTTTTTTTAAGCTCTACATAATGGTTTTGAAAGAAATTGCTAAATTTTAAGTTTTTAGTGTCAACAATGGGAAAAACCTATTTTTACCCCTTAAACCCCTGTTCCCATAGTCCGATCATGCTGGTTCGCAAACTCGTTCGAATAAACGTGGGTTTACACGTTTGTACCAAATTTCATCAAAATCGGATGATTTTTGCTCGAGTTATCGCGCTATTGGACACATATATAAATATAAATATTTATATTTATATGTGTGTCCAATAGCGCGATATATATATATGAATTTGAACGGATGGTGTTTTTGGTCTCTAGGGACCTCAAAACAAAAAAGTAAATCGGTCCCGGGTCCAGGTCTTACGATGAGTACTACGGTAATAGCTTATTCCCTATATGGGAAATTCGCTAAAAAAGAAATAATTTAGTTTATTGTTGCATGCCTACCGGTTGAGGATGTATAAGAAGTTCCCAAGTTATTCTTAAGGATAATAACAAAACTTTTTAGTTTTCTTGTTCTTGGATTTTACTTAATCAAATTTGGTAATCTTTGTTTATTTCTTTTTATTTAGCAAAGAAATAATCTGACATTTTTAAGAAAATACGAGATGCTATAAGCAGGTTGTTTTGTTCGTGGTATGTCTATATAGTAACCGAGCTTCACAACGGGAGGAGAACGTGGTTAGAGTTGCAAGTTTAAAAATCTAGGCCTGTTATGGATCTAAGATTAAAAACTTAATTTTAACACCTAACCTTGTGTGTAATAAAATTCTTTACATCTTACTACACAGAAACAGGTACTTTTCCTATTCCATCCATAGGATGGGAAGTTACCCTTTGCCATGCCTAAACACGGAAAAGTAGTAATGTACTTTTACGCCACACTACATTATTTTGACGAACTTCCCACGCAAGGATTTAGTCCAGAAAACAGCTGTTTGCCGCCAGCTTATTCAATTGGGGTTTCATTGCGTACTGTACTACTATACTGTAATGAGTGTTACCGGACACCAATCAGCTGATTATACTGTATTTAGGTGGCAATGAATGGTTATAAACAAAAACGTAATGAGTAGTGATTTTTAGTCCTTTAGTTGGTGGGAATATATAAGGATTTGTACAGATTTATTAGTATGGCGTAAACTAACGTACGTAACTCGTCCAAAATGTGTGTACCGGACTCGTATGGTAATCCCGTACTCGACTTCGTCTCGCACGAGAACGACCACACTCGTCCGGTAAACACACTTATTTTCAGGACTAGTAACGTAATATACTATTACAGTGTACTTAGTCAGCTGTTGAAATAAACAGCTAATTTCAGCGGCCTATTTTATTTTCAGAAAAAAAATCTAATTTATGTTCTGTCCTAAATAAATTGTGTCGCACGAAAATCCCGTACTCGGCTACGCCTTCTATAAACACCTTACCGCTTACCTGGCTAGTAACCTAATACAGTAGGCATATACTATTTCTTTATACCTACTGCATTTAGATAAGGTGTTTAAGTTTCTTAAGCAGCCATTACAGTTTACAGGTGGTTCTGATGTGTGTTTGTAAACACTGTAACAACTCTATGATTTATTTTAAATACCCCCCGCAGCAAACCTGCAGACTAAACGAATTTCCATTTGCTTGATTGGATTTACACTATCTCCTTAAAATATCACAATATTATTCCCTATTTCAATATAGCATTAGTTTAACAAGTACTTAGGTATGTTGTAACAGGGAGGGTTTTAAAGGGGGTTTTTTTTAAATATTATTACATGTAGGTAGTTTAATATGAAATAAATGCATTTTCAAATTTTGATCAAAAGATGTTCATAAACAAGCTAACTACAACAGTTTACTTATTCTCCATAAGAATATCATTGGGATTTTAAATTTAAAACGGTTTGAGTTTTCTCCGTAACCATTAGGCGCATAATAATGCTTCAATATACTAAATAATTTGTTATTAAGCTCTACAAAATAGTTTGGAAAGAAATTATTGCAAAATTTTATGTTGTCATTGCTTTTTATGGATCGCCATCCCTAGTAGCACAAATATATATTAAATACATATGAATAAATGTATTTATAATCTATTTTATATATCTCAAGTGTGTATTAATGTCAATTTTATATAATATTTAAAATATATTAAATATATAAAAAATATGTTTTTGAATCTATTAAATATTAAAAAAAATATGTTCCAATAATATATTTTAGTGAATAATATTTAAATAAAAAATGTATTTAATATCTCTTCCAAACATCCCATGGGGCCTAAACATAAAAACACAAAATAATAAAGATTTAGTATGAAAAACACAATTATCAGTTGAGTAAATTGATTAAATAGTTCATAAAAACAAATTTTGAAAAAATTACTGGATAAATTTTTTTCATCCCGGGTGGGTCTCGAACCTGGGTCCTCCGACTTATGAGCCTACCTTACCTCTGAGCTACTTGTGACTGTTGTTAGCCTTAGTTTTCAAATGGTGAAAGAGTGGCCCTCAGTTGCAATGGTTGCAATACTTGAAATATTTTTGATACTACAGTATAATATGATTCTGTTAATATGTTTTGGCATCAAGTAGTTGAGTTGAATAGTGCTGTAGTGAATAGTGAGTAGTCTCCACGAATACAAATACAGTAAACTACAAAAATTAATTTAAATACTATGACAAATATTATGTAATTTATGGCATATGTAAATCAAATAATTATTTTTAGAACGTCATCTACAACCGTAATTAGTTTCTTAAAAGGTCGCCAGTCACTAGCACCCTTTTCTAGCCAATCATTCGAGATTTCTATGATCACATTCATTGTCACATATTGCAATAAAAAAAAACCCCATCAACGCTTTTTTCGTTTGACCCGAATGTAGCTGTCAAACATGTATACTGCCTCTTAACTATATGCTATTTTTTTCTTTACGTGTATGATAGAGTGACACCATTCAGAGTACTTATTATTATTAACTTAATTTTAACGCTTTCACAATAGCAATTATCATACAAAAAATGCATGTATAAATTGATAGACACTATGAAAAACAAAAAGATGCAAATTATTTATTTGTTAATTATAAAAGATTATAGGATATATATTCTACAAATATAATATTATTTTATTAATAAAAAATATCTGACGTGTTTCAAAATATATTTATAAATAATTTAAATATATAATATAGTTTCAAAAATATTTTATATATATATTTAAAATATTCTCAACACATATTTTTTTTTAAATATTTAATAGGAAAAATATACATATAAAATATGTATATTATAGATTCTATACTTGTTTTATCAATATATATTATGAATATATTTTATATATTCAAAACTTATATTTAATTTATATTTTGCATTGCTTTTTGGTAATATTTTAAATATATATTTGAATATATCAAACTATTATTAAAGATATATTATATTTATATTTTATTCGAGGTTCTATCAAATACAACTTTAAATATATAAAATATTTATAAAATACATATTTGTGCTACTAGGGATATTGGCAATGGAAAGGTTAACAAAAGAATCAAAGCATCTGCAGTTTGTTTAGGCAAATTAACGCAGTTTTTTAATTTCCTCATTTCCGGTGTAAGTTGCTGATACAAATGTACTACAACTCATTTAATATTTCAAAGTGTAACAATGAACAACGTAAATTTGTTATTTGGATTAATCTGTTTTAACACTAAGCTAGCAAGTTAAATGAAAAAACTATGTACACCCCTACTATGTCATTATATATTTCAAATCAATGTATGATTGAAAAAACTTTGATGGATACCATAATCATCCTCTAGCAAAGTTTGGCCTAGGTAGCAAGTTTTAACTACCTTCTTACACGAAAAAAACTGTTAATAAATCATAATACAAGTGCGACAAATAAATGTCAAATTATTTTAAGCCTTCAAACGGCAGAACACATATTATATACACAAGATAGTTGAGATAGCATTGACAAATTTGAAGGAGACTGCAAGCTGCAAGCGCCGTGAATAGAAGTCGTTCGGAGTTAAAAAAAAGAACGACTCTCATTATACTCAACCGATCTGTTCAGCAAGAGCTGTTCACCTTCAATTTGAATCTCCCGCTCTTTGTCGATCTGTTTTGCTTGTCGACATTTTGCGTGTCGATAAAGTGGGAAAATTTACACAACCGTCCCACATAACAGACATCCCACATAACCGACATCCCACTTTACAGACATCCCATATTACCGACACTGTCGACATTTTGAGTTGTCGACAAAGTGGGACTATTTCAGTGTCGATCTTTTGGGATGTCGATAAACTGGGACCCCACGCTTAGACCATCTCTGCTCTTCTGTCTCTAACTACAAAACCGCCCGCAAGCAAAGCAAACCGCGTCCGCAACCAACCAACCGCCTTCGGCGCCTTCTTCTTATCGGCATTCGGCTATTCGGCTCGGCATTGGTCCTAGACCTTCGTTGTCTGTTAGTTGATGTTATGTAAAATTGTACTTTATCTTACCCTGTGTTTCAAGCGTGTTTAGATAAGATGATTTGATTTGAGTGATAGCTGTCAGCTGACCGCCCATAATTTTGATTACGGTACTTGTGCTTTAAAGTCTTCATTAACTTAATCATTACTTTGCTGTGCAGTAGCCTATTTCAAGTTTTTAGTGAAGTTGGCGAATTTTTATTTTGTCTACATACACAGGCTGCTCCTTAAGAATCTTCAGGTAAGTTAATCCATTATTTTATAAATATTAGGCCTTGTTTTTTATTTAAGAGGCCCTAATCATCAGTTAAACTTATTTAAGCCTTTCAGTGCTAGGTCAATAATTCGTATTTCGTAAGACTTTTTTTGTTTGCCTTTTAATTCCATTACCTTTTGTTGAATTTTAACTGTATTGGGTACAGTTTCTTAACTGGGCTATGCTAATATCGATTGAAACTATTGATTCGATTAGTAAACCTTTAGGTGGTACTCGATTTTTCCCTTATCAGCAAGTTTCGTTATACTTAGGTTAGGTTATCACAGTTAAATTTTATAATTGATATTGGCCTAGTTAAAAATATTGATTATTGATCAATATTATCAAAATTAGAAAATGTAATCTGCAAGCCGCTCTCGCGTTAATTGCCAGCTGTCCGATGGACTTCATATATTCTTTGGTGGATGTGAACAACAATTTGACCAATTCACCTCGCTCCTTAGGTGCGCTGCTCTTCAATCTAGTCCCAGCAAGAGGATGGGTGTTTTCCGTTTCCCTAGATGGTTTTCCTGGGAACTAATAAAACTTACAATAGAGAAGAAAATATCCTATAAGAGGTATAACTTAAGCAAAATCCTTGTATGACTTTTTATAATCATTTCTCCCTCCTTCGTCGTCGGTGTAAGGACATCTCAAGAGCATGTTATGCTAGCTACATATGTGCAGTGGAGTCTAGTATTCCTACAAATCCCCGTGCCTTCTGGAGTCATGTTAAGTCTACCGGGAAATCTTCGGGAATGCCACATAACATGCATCTGGATGGATATTTTACCGAGGATGAACAGGAAAAATGTGAACTATTTGTGAAGCATCTGGGATCGGTTCCTCTACTGCATCAGACACAATCCCCTCTTTTGACTTTTACTCAGTGAATACCATCTGCAGTGTTAGTCTCTCGCTGAGGTTCAAAGGGTGCAGGCCCCGACAACATACAACCTTCATTGTTGCGCTTCAGCTGCGATCTGCTAGCTGAGCCCTTGCAATTATTATTCAATCAGTCCTTGGCCGAAGGCATTTATTTCCTGCAGCCTTTAAGCATGGGTATGTCGTTCCCCTTTCTAAATCTTGTGATCACAGTGACATAAAAAATTACTGCCCCCATCACAACCCTTCAAATATACCTTGACAGTGTCTTTGCCTGGTGCAAAGTCAACAAGATGGAAATCAATCCTGGAAAATGCTCAACATTAACCTTCCATCATTCCAGGAATCCGGCAAAATTATACTCAAATATTCCCTGAAAACTGTCAGCTTTATTTCCTATTTAAATAAAATTAATTTTAATGAGTACCTAGGTTTGCTGCTACAGGGAAGGTATTGAGGTGAGTTTTTATTGAAATGTTGATAGCTTAGTATGTAATAAACAAAATTGCCAAATTTGATTATAATATATCCATATATAAGCAAACAACAACCGTTTTTTTTATTCTCCGTAAGAATAACATGGGAATTTTGAATTTAAGTTTTTTTTTTTTAATTATCTCCATAACCGTTAGGCATACAACAGCCCTTTGCTATATTAAATCATTTATTTTTTTAAGCTCTACAAAATGGTTTAAGAAATAAATTGCAAATTGTTTGGTTATTAGGGTCAAAAATGAGAAAAACCCATTTTTACCTTGTAAATTGAAGATTTTAGCTTCAATTTAAAATAACTAAAAAAACCAACAAAGATACCAATTTCACTACATTAACATTTTTAAAGATCATAATTTTATGAGTAAATTGACGTTTATTGCGATGTTCTACCTAGAATAGTTCTCGAGTTATAGTAGTCCAGTCAATGAATGCTCAAAAGGGGGGTGTAGAGGACATGGAGAGGGGGAAATTTTTTTTCTGCGGGAATGTGTTCGGGGTAGTTAGAAGATAAAAATACCAAAAGTCCCCGCCCCTGGCCCTGCTGCTTCAGCGGGGGGAGGGGGGGAAAGACCCCATTTTTTAGTTTTTTGCTTCTAGACTGAAAACCGTGCATCGTACGGAAAAAATGTAAATTATAAAAAGAAAGATGATGAAATTCTCTACAAGAATGGTCATATTTATTTCTTCCGTATATGCATTGGTTTAAAAGATATTCTCAAAATAATATAAAAATTCCTTAATAAATTGATTTTTCACGCGTTTTTTGTCAAATAAGTTTATATAATCCATTAGCCTGTTGTTGTTTCACATCAATCACGATAGAAAACAGGTTTTTGAACACTAACCTATGTAATATAATATATCAATCGTACGTATTGTGTTAAAAATCGTTTATATAAATTTAAATAAGTTATGTATATTTGTCATGGAAAAAAGTAATTTTGGCATATTATTATTACACTAAAAATGAAAAAGATTATGTTTGTAGCTATATTTGTCCAGGTTTATTTATATCAATTACCAAAACCAAGACTTAATATTATTGTTCATGGTCTGGCTCACTTGGGACGAGAGGGTCCGACTTCTGTCCCAAAAACTGGTGCCATCTGGAACTGAAAACCACCATCTAGGACATATCCATCATTCAATTCTTGTTGATTGGACTCAATATTGGCTATCGAAGTGAGAATTCGGTGTAGGCCTGTATATTCTTCATCTTCCTCATTCATCAGAATAAGCATTTCATGTAAAAAGTTCCCTTAGCAGCTCCGGCAAAACGGAGAACAATTACTGTATCGGACATTTTCTTGCATGCACAAATTGCACATCTGGCACTGTTATAATGTTTAGTACATTTGCAAAAAACTTGGTTTAGGGATTAACTGTTCCTGGTTTCTATAATTTCGGTGGTCTCTGTTCAAATTAATATCTACTGACCAGTGGCGGTCTCTTGGGGGGGGGGGGGGGGGGGGGGGTGGTAGGTATATATCCTCTCCAAAATATTTTATTAGCTAACATAAATACTATTAGCTTGAAGATATTTTAGAGCCCAGATGCAAATAAAAATACGTTATTGTGTGCTTTAAATTATACATTTTTTACCGGGGGGGGGGGGGGGAGTTAACCACCGGAGCCCCCCCCCCCCGGAAATTAAATCCTGAGACTGCCACTGCTACTGACTTTTTCAATCTATAGTGTCTTTCTTGGTCTGCCATCTTCGTGCTGTTTTCTGAATTGCTATATCCGTCAAAAACAACAATGCATTACCTTACAAGGTAATAGGTATCCTATCCACGTACCTCACGTATCCATCACATATCTCAGACACTGAAGATCCCCTTTGCCATATAACCTTATGCGCGAGAAATACCCCATCGATAACCAAATTAAAAGTTGTTAAAACCGTTGTTGTTTGGTTTTGTTATTTGGTCTTTACTCATACCACTCTCATTAAATAAAGGGAAATGGAGCAAGTTCAAATCGTTAACAATCCTTTAAATCTTGATAACTTTTTTAACTTATACAAATCCTTTGAAACATAATTAAAGGTTTTGCTGCAACGTTTTAATCATTATCGATGGTTGAACTCACAGACGACAAAGGGAGAGCCATATTTTCCCGTGACAGCTTGTTGTCTGCAAATGATTACAATTTGATAAATTACTCGCAGACTACGTAATACAGCATCGTTACAGTTAACGGATTCATCTCCTACAACCCCAGATGCTATTGGCATGATGTCTTTAGTTTCAAGGAAGAGTGGGTGATTTTCAAAAATTGCTGTCAATTTAGAAAAATTTTACATTTAATCATTTGTATAATTTAATCAAGGACAACTCTGTTTGGAAAACTAACTACCCTCAGAAATGTGGAATTGGGAGCGCAAAAAAGGTAATCTATTCCCAGTTTTAACCAATGAACCACCTAACCCACGAGAAATATTGGGCTTGTTTTTTGCAAATATACTTAAGATTGTAGCAATGAAAGATGTACATTGTACATGCAATGAAATGTCCATTAAATGTTCCTCGTTGGCCGTCATGCCAGAACTGCTAAGGGGGCCGTTTAAATAGAATGACAATTCTGATAAATGAGGATGATGAAGAATATATACACTGCACTCTCACATCGATGGCAGATATTGTGTCTGATGAACAAGAATTAAATTATGGAGTGACCATGAACAATAGTATTAAGTCTTGGTGTTGGTAATTGATATAAATAAACCTGGACAAATATAGCTACAAACATAATCTTTTCAATTTTTAGTGTAATAATTATGCCAAAATTACTTGTTTCCATGACAAATATACATAACTTATTTAAATTTATATAAACGATTTTTAACACAATATATACGATTAATATATTATATTACATAGGTTAGTGTTCAAAAACCTGTTTTCTATCGTGATTGATGTGAAACAACAACAGGCTAATGGATTATATAAACTTATTTGACAAAAAACGCTTGAAAAATCAATTTATTAAGGCATTTTTATATTATTTTGAGAATATCTTTTAAACCAATGCATATACGGAAGAAATGAATATGACCATTCTTGTAGAGAATTTCATCATCTTTCTTTTTATAATTTACATTTTTTCCGTACGATGCACGGTTTTCAGTCTAGAAGCAAAAAACTAAAAAATGGGGTCTTTCCCCCCCTCCCCCCGCTGAAGCAGCAGGGCCAGGGGCGGGGACTTTTGGTATTTTTATCTTCTAACTACCCCGAACACATTCCCGCAGAAAAAAAATTTCCCCCTCTCCATGTCCTCTACAACCTCTTTATTGACTGGACTATAGGCGTTTTAGTAAACGGCCCCCCCACCATATTGCCCCCCTCCCCCTCGGGATGTCGACTACGCTGGGGGGCGACAACATGCGTTTTCGTGATCACTATAGTGCCTATAACAACAATCAGAAATGAAATTGCGTTACCCTTTTCATGCATGCTCAACCCCCTTCAGATCCTGGACTAAAGCTCATATATGCTGTCCAGAGCTGCTATCAGAAATAGACATTAGAATCCCTACCATAACAAGATCCAGGGACCTATTCGGGCGTCGTTTCTGAGGCACCACATATGACTTTCACAGTCCTC